CAAATGCGTTTTCAAAGATAGAGGCGACAACTGGTGCATACACCAGAATCTCATTCCGCTTACAATTGTCAGAGGCCAGAGTGCACGGGGTGAGCCATAAAAGAATGCACGTATCCTAACAGTTACCCTTCATTCATACCCCCTGCCTCCCAATTGGTCCAAACTGCTCCGTCTCCAGCCCCTCCTTGGGCTTCTGTCTGGCCAATAGGACAGCAAAAGGAAAACAAAGGAAACCGTTTGTTTTTTCTTGCAGGGGTGGAGCATGCCAAGATTAATCGGGTGGGGGGGAGGGTTGTATTACTAGGAGGGAGGGCGGGGTGTATGAGCTTGTGCAACCCTGATTGTCTAAACAAAAAGTAGCAACCAATTTTCTGTTTCCGGCTAGTTACTTTTCCGTTTGTTACAAAAGAACCCGCAAGACTCTGAAAGGAATCAGCCTTGCAGAAGTAGTAGCATTAGCTGTTGTAATTGTCAAAATTGTTGGCTTGTGCCCATTAGTTTTGTTTGCAGTGTTTTGTTTCTCCTGGGAACAAGGGGCGTTGTCATTTGGGAGGGTATGAAGAATTGATTTGGACAAAGCTTGTGGACCCCTTGAAAACAGTATTTGCCAGTCGGGGCAGGAGAGGACGGTCTTCAATCCGGGGGGGGGCAGCTGACACCATGATCAGGTAACCCTGAATTGGTGATTTGGGTGGGTGGTTTCGGATATCATCCCCTTTTTCCTCAAAAGGGTAAATGGGAAACCACCTAACCCCTAAATCACCAATCCAAGCCACCAATTCGGGGGAAGCAGACATTACGGCCATAAGGCCGTGGCTTTGATTTGCAGCTGGTGAAAGAAATCAATCTCAATCGGCGCTCCCACTCTCTGCTCCGCGGTCTCTGATTGGCTGTTTATTTTTTTGGGCCGGGCCGGCTGGAGAGTTCAAGTATTCAGAGTTTCACTGTAACAGCCGTTGCAGCTGGTGTGTCACTGACGGGGATTGAGCACCCCTTCGTATGAGAAGCATTCCGCTCGAGGTGCGGCTGAGCAGATCGAAGTGGAGCCAGGCAACGGATCCGGCGAGCGCCAGTCGCGGCAGTTTTTTCGGGGTTGGATCCCCAAAATGGCTTCGGTCTTCCTGTTTGCTTCCCTTGTAAACCACCAAAAAGGGGTACCCTCAAGAAACGACGTCCAAATGGTCAGGTAACATGCTGGAACCGCACGGAGTTGGATGGGGAAGCCGCTTCGGGGAACAGGTATTTTCTACTGTGAAGCGGCGCCCTTGGCCCATGACGCGAGTCCCCGACTTTTCCGCAGATCGGAGCCCAGCAAGCTCGCCTCATCCTGTGAGCGAAGCTGAGCTCAGCCCCGTGGTTCGAAGAGCGGAGCGGGGCTGATGCAGTGGGTCAAGAGGGTAACCCCCAAATGGCTTGCCCTTGCAAATGGGAAACCTGCGGTCCCTGGTGGGTGAATGTTTTGAGCCATACCCATTTGTTGGTCCCTCCTAGATTGCATACTTGTTTGTTTTTCGTTGGCGGGCCGGGGTAGTTCAGGCTACATACAATTCCTACCGTTGGTCATTGTATGTTGGATGCACAAGTCAGATTCAATTCACATGACATGAGAGAACAGAAGAGGTGCTGCCACCGCTCCTGGAGACTGGTAGCTTATGAAGCACATGTCGTGTAATTACCACATTTGCAGTGACAGGCAATGTTCGGCCCTCCAAACTGGAACCCACGGTTGGTTGAAACTGGATGGCACAATTACCGTTAAGCCAAAAGGGGTAGGGCCAAAGAATGCCACCCCTATATCCCCACCAAGGCAGGTTCCTCCCCACCTTGATATGCATCGACACCAGCAGGATGCCTTGGATTCCTCAAGTCTTCATGGCCCATGTTCGGTGATCTGTTTCTTTTTGCCTAGGCGTCTTCCAAGAGACCCTCTGCTCCTGGACCGTAGTGTCTCTCTCTGAGCCCACCTGGTACCAGGGCTGCATGCGGAGACGAGCCGATTTGGAGGGAAGGATCACATTAGGTGTGAGTCTCTTTAGCAGGGTTCTTCATCAACTGTACAACCAACACAAGTTTGGGTACCCATGTTGCGGCGTTAACAGATTGATATGGCTATTACTTGAATGGGCTTTCCTGCCAAAACACTCATGTTTTTTTTGGTCAACAGATGTAGCTTAGCGGCATCCTACTTGAATCTGTGTATCCCTTATTTCAGGAAGCATGACAAATCACGACAAAGTCATGATAGAATTCGATGATACCAGCAAAGTCCCAGGCATTCATAAAAGCATGGATAGGTATTTACTCGAATGGGTCATGCTAAGGCCTTGGCAAGGCTTGTGTTGAACAAACTGAGTGTATTGAAAGCTCATTTCAACAGTTTGTCTGATGTGAGCAATGTCAGGATTGCGGGTCAACATGCAATTTGTTGACAATCACTGGTGCATGTGCGCTTCTCCGACTGATTGATCCAGCTCCTTGGATCTTGAACTCAACGAGTGGCTTCTATTGAGAGAAGCCCTATGTACTGTGATCTCACCTCGGGGTAAACAAGCAGACCCATGCATGAAGGTCCCTTCCCTCGTTTCAAATTCTGGAATTCTTGTTGATGCTACTGATGGTTTGCTTTTCTAACAGACTTTCCAATCATGCAGCCAGCTCCACCTTGGGGCCGAGGTCGATAAATATTTTGAGCCGCGAAAGCCTTTGATGCTCGGGATTGGGACTGTGTCAAGCAGGGCCGCGCGTTTTAAAACAAGGTCGCCAACATGAGAGCGACCTACATTTGTCACCGGAATGTTTTGGAATGCCCACCGTTCCCAATGCTGAGTTTGGAGAGCCAAGGTGCCACCAGTGCAGAGGCTTCCTCTGGGGATTCCGCGATCAAGGCTTGCGCTGCGGCAGGTGTGCGCGTATTGCTGCTTGTCAAGGGCCGGTTGGGTGAGGGGTTCTGGCAGGAGGCCGGTATTGATTTACCCAGCTTTGGAGAGATGGTGATGGATGGTGTTTTGTGTTCACGGAGTATTGGAAGAATCTTGAGCTCCACCTTGGTACAAGCAGAAGAGGATATTGCAGGGGGGCCATTGCTCGGCGACGGATCGGTGTTTAGTCTCTTGAAGCCAGCCTTTCCCCACGACTGCCATGTCATTCATTATTTCCAACAGCTAAAATTTATAGGGCTCAGGCAAACTCTCGGCCGCGGGTAAACCAACAGTTGCTTGAGTTTTGTATTGAGTTCTTGTCAAGCCTTGGAGAGGGAAAGACATCACGATAGAAATCCTCGGTTTCCCCACACGACGCAATCTCTGCCGAAGATCGGCGCTTGGCATGGAGATGTACTGCTTGCAGCTCCCATTTCTTGAGAAGAAAACAGGCCAGGCAAGTTGGCGGCTCCACAGCATTCACCAATCCCATTCGCCAATCCACATGTTGATTCCTCTTGGATATCACCTTCGGGGATCCTCAAACAATCACCATGCGACATTTGATATGTTTCTTGACATTCCCCTCAGACCAGTAGGTGAGAAAAACAAAAACTAAGACATACCTTCTTCACCGCTACCAAAGGGCAATCCTCACAGATTGGTCCGTTATTCTCTCAGGTTTGGGCGCTTAGAACCGCATGAGGTGTGCAGCACCTGCAGCTCCTCCTCCACGGGCTCACTGTGCAGAGGAGGGACAAGCGAGAGAGGCCGTGAAGCCAGAGATTGCCTAGACCTGGTGCTGATATTTCTGTGTGAGCAGCTGACATTCGTTGCAGTGCGTTCATACAGCGTTGGACGACCCGTTTCGTTTTTCCCTGCCCATTTGGGGAACAATGAAAAAAACGGTGCATGGCCCCAGGACCAGGTAAAAGGACCGTGAATCGGAGGAATATTGGTTGCCAATGTTGGTGTGCTGGTTTTGCCTCAAGCATCCCCTTGGAGGAGCACTATTCAACTTGATCTTGATATGCATCTACCCTGCCTTCTCGTTGTCCTCTGGATGCGAGTGCCAAATTGCGTGCCTCGCCCAGGAGCCGTGCGCTTGTGAAATCGGATTGAGCCAGCAGACGAAGTGCTGCGCCGCTTGCCTTCCAAGCATGGAAATGGACGGGGAACCCTCCCAAACAGGTGGTCGATGAGGTCGCTGAGTTGCGTTGGATTCCAGGTTGTGCATCCAGCTTCTCTTGCGCGTAGGGCGGCGGGCGGCGGGCTTGTGAGATGGTCACTGACGTGGAGCAAACCTTGTACTGTACCTGCGAGTTAGGCGGCTGTCAATCGTTTGGCGACAGGCTTTGTTGCATCCAATCTTGTTCAGGGATGTGGGTCCAAAAATCCAATGCTAAACTGTGATTGGTCCGGAGTCCCTTCCCAATGTTGATGAACGAGCTCTGAGCAAACATGTTTGTTGCTTCTGGCAAGGCCACTTGTTCCTGTTCCAACACTTACAGCAAAAATTAGGCGGACCCAGTAGCTTGCCTTCTGATCAGTGCGAATCTCCGTGCCAGCTGTCTCAGCTGCTTAATGCGCGTGCTGCTCCCCACCGGCTGCCGATCAGTATGGCGTTGCTTTGCTGTTTAAGCCAACCTGTTGGCTGTTTGTTTTCAAGTCTTTTGGCGATTTAGCTAGTGGCTGACGGCCGGAGAGGACTGGAAATTAGTGGAGAAGCGCGGGCTCGTGCCTTGCCTGGGTCGATGCAAGTCTCCTCTTGATGTTTCTAGGTGTTGTTGCATGGTTCTTTCAGTCACGGTGACACTTTTGTTGGCCTATCTGTCACTGGTTGGCCTCACCCACCCAGCGGTTTCACAGAAAATCATCATTTCGCGTCGAGAGCGCTAGGCCACGAGGCTTGTCATGAAGGAAAAAGAGGCTGTGCTTCTGAGCGGAGCCATCACAGTTTTGCCTCATTCAGCCTCATTTCAATCCCTCATGACACGATGGGTACAAGAGCAAAGCGGATACGAAGAATCTGATTTGGACCTCCGATTCTGAAATCACATCTCTAAGTCTTGTGCTTGCCAGGTTTTACTTCCGGCAAGGCGACGTGGAGGCTGAGGGCTGGCAATGCGGCGATGGAAAAAGATGGGGCGGTCACGGGTGGATTAGGAACGACTCACACACAATTAAGGCTGCTTCCTGCTTTCTTGTGTTGAGCAACACAAACGACGGAAACACAATTCAATCGTGAAATCCATTTGTGCTGAGGCTTGTGTCTCCGAGAGCAAGAACAGGCATTTTAGCCTGCGAAAAAGCTCGTTGGGTCTACATGATTGTGTTTACTGAGTGACTAGGTTGTTGGAGGATGGTGGGTTCTGTGAGCCCTCCCCTCTGTTTTTTCTGCTTTGGACCTGGCCCCGCAATACTTCGTCATTCAAGCCCTCCAAACAGACGGAATCGACATCAGAGTGGTTTGCTACGCCTTGGTTGGGACATTGCCCAAACATGTTGTGCCAGGCCTACCAAGCCGCCTCGCAGGAATGGTTGCCAGCAGTAAGCACCGCGAGGAGCCTCAGAATCAGGTTTACCAGGGGCCCTTGTTTTCCCCCTGCTCAAGTGGTGCCCAGTTTCCTTGCTGGGTGGCGTCTTTCTTTGGGAGGGTAATGCCAGGGCGACTAGGTAAGGAGTTTTTGTTGGTGGGGCCTTAATTCAGCGGTTCTTAATTCATCTCAATCACTCAAATCCATGCAAGGTAAACATCACGCAAAACCGCACTGCTTCTCGGTTCGGCAAATGTTCCCGCGCTGAGGGCTCCAAAGAGGAACGCCAACTGATCTGGCTGGAAGACGGTAGCTTCCAGGAGTTGCCCGCAGAGCATGTGCGCCAGAGCCAAATCAAGGCGAACGGGATTGGGAGGAATCAGCCCTTATGAGCTTCCAAGCTTCAGCTTGACAGTGCAGCTGAGAACCTCTGAGTTTTGGTGAGATGCATTGTGTTTTGAAAGATACACAAGCACCTCGATTCGGGGCCGACCAATGACTATGGGGGCTTACCCGTGGCACGTGGGTAGATATCCTGCCATCCGCAAGCAGGAGAATTGGATAGAATGTTTGCGTATGCAAGTCGATAGGCACCAAGTCACGTGTGGCAATCTAACACCAATGAACATGCCAAGTATTTGCCCGTGCCATCCCGTGCCACTTGGGTGGAATTTGTTACTTTTGAAGGAGAGACACATTTGTGTAATTCTCGTGACGTGTCCACCTCGTGTCCAAGGTTCACACAAGCGCTTCAAGGCACCTTCAAACTAGGCGTCCTGATAGCATCTGCCAAGTTGATCCAAGCAATTCGGTGGAGCACTAGTGGCTGTTGTTTTGGTAGTGCCGCGTTCCCGACAAAGCACGCCGGCTACTTGTGGGGTGGACTGAGCAGTGTGGGGGCAAAGTGGACCGGCGAGAGGCCCAGCTTGTGACCCTAGTGCTGCGACAGGACGCAAGGGCGGGGAAGTGACACAAGAATGTGTGAAGTACCAAGTTACTAATGCTGCCAAATCAAGAGACATGTTCCCCCCGCAACATGAGAGCAGTGCTTCTGCATCAAAGGACTACTCGTACGTCTTGTGTGACGCCAATGCTCGGTTTGCAAACGTGTTTGTCATCGAGGTCGGTACTCGTCCTCTCATTGCCAGCGTCGTCCACGCAAACATGTGTGTCATATTTTGCTTGCATTCATTGGTGACATTTCATTTTAGCAAAAATCGTGTAGACAAAAGGCTGAACGTGTGGGGGTGTGTTTTTTGCATTTGTTGAATTCGCATTCCCCTCTATCATAGCATTCTAGATTTGAGGGGAGCTTGGCTTACAGGGTTGGGGCTTGCATTTGCGCATGCCGCGAGCCTAAGTTACGTGTCTGCCCGGACCCAACACGAACAATCAGCGCGTAGTATTGCCCAGAGAATTTGCATGTTGAGTATGTTGTTTGAAGTTCTCTTGATTAGGATGTACTTGCATTTGGATTTGTTTGTTTGCTTCGTGCTGCCAGATCGATTTCAGCTGTTTAACTCCCTCTTTATCATCAGACAATACTTCGAGACACAGATTAGTTCATTCCACTTCCTTTGTGTGCTAAAACTCAAGTGGTGGGAAAGTCATGGCCTTTGCATTTTGGAACCTGGTTGCACCTACCAGGCCTGTCGGGTGACAAAATTTTGGGCTGGCTCCTGCCCTCGCCCTCCTCCCTTTCTTGCACTTTTTGCATTGCCGCCACCTTTGCGGCATCTTGCCATCCTCACGCTCACCAGGTCAGTTTTTGACGCGTACAGGAATCACAAGATGTTAAACGCAGCTTCCGCAGGGATTCTCTAGCAGGTTGCCGATCCAAGGGCATGGCCTTTCGCTTGAGGATTCCTTGGAGATCTTTGAGGCCGGCAGTTCGGATCCATCCGCCGATGCCACGTCCTCGGGAACGGGGCCTTTGAGAAAGGCACTGGGCACCCGAGCCACGGAATCAGAAGGACCCAGAGTCTCCACAGCAGCCCCAAGCTTTCATTTTCGACAGCACAATGGGTATCAAGCATTTGTGTGCTTGTGTTCAAGATTAGTTGGACCACTGCAGTAGCATCGGCTTCATGTTGCGTGGGTTTCATGTTGGTTCCATAGAACAATCCTTTGTTTGCGCGCCGCACAACCAGTCCGTTGCCCGATCCGGCGGCGAGCCTTTCAGGCGACTGGCACTCCCATCAAGCGGCTCCTCGTTGACGAGATTGAGGACTTAGAGGCGGGGGAGGTGAAGTGCTTCCCTGAGGGCCTCAGGCGATGGTTGGAGATTTTCCCTTAGTGTGTGTGCGTTCAGGATAACCTAGTTGACATGAGACTACTGTCTTTCCTACCACCAAGATTGCGATGACATTCTGGCTCCAACTTAGAAAACTGACGCGTCACGCAGCGGACCGCAAGTTGCAAACCGGAGAGTGTGTGCGTGTGTGTTGTGCCGAAAGGTCGAAGAGGAGAACAACAGATTCGTGATCTTCCTGCCCAAGCATTGGTTACCTGACTGAACGAAGTGATACTTGCAACCCTTGCGTTGGGTCCTGCAGATGTGTGCTGCTTTCTTTACGTGCCGGCTCAATGATCTTTTTTGCCCATTTCACGTGTTTCCGGACGTCCCCTCCATTGATATTTGTTCGCAACTCAAACCGATGACATTGTCCACGCCGCAAAATAAAAACGGCCGAGCCATTCGCTAGAACAACGTTCTGCAGCCTGAGGACACGACACATGTGGCATGGCTGTGCGCAGGTTGAGCTCTTTTTCCGTTAATGTCAGGATAGGATGCGTAGAGTGTGCACTGCTTTTCCTCACTGGTAAATGGAGATCAGCTTGCTCGCCTGATGCTTGAAAAAGAAGACTGCCACAGCTTGAAGTGCAGTTGAATGGGTTGAAGCTTATGGCTGCTTCAATGGGGGCTATGGCTTGAAGATCGGAGCCTCCCGACTTTGGGCTCTTCTGAAGAACTCGAATTTGAGAATCATGGCTACGGCCTGTTCGTGTGGCCTGCTCGCGTCGAAGTACGCCCAGGAAGTTTGAGCTTTCATCACCGATTGGTAAATCCTTGGACGTGAAGCCGGCGCGTTTTCACACCTTTGATGTGATCGAGAATGTCATCCTGACAATCTCCGGAACTAGCTGTTTGCTGAAATGGCCCACACAGTTTCTTTTTCATGCTAGCTGAGTTAGAGAATCACTGTTGAACAAATATGATTAAATGCTTCCTTGCAGCTGGCTGGCCTTATTCCAAAAGCCACTTTCGCATTTGTTGTTCACACTTTGTCATGGCACCCTCCCAGCAATGTTGAAGCATGCATTTTGGGCACTTGCAACAGGGACCATATGGCGCCAGTGAAGTCAACATCAGAACTGGACCACTCAGATCGCCATGTTTTCCACTGCTTCTCGGCTGTTCCTATTTTCTTCTTTTGATTGTGCGGCTGTTGCTGCTTGATGGTTGCCATTGTTGCTTTTCCCTTTTGTTCTTTTGCTTTTGCTGCTGCTGCTGGCCACCACTTCCGCTGTCGTTGCCGCTGTTGGGTTGCACTGAATCAATATTTTTGTAATGTGTTGTCGTTTTTTTGTGGTGTTGGTGGTGCCAGCGGTGGTGGTGGTGTCCTGGTCAGTGTCGTGATATGTCGTGATGGTCCTGGTTGCGGTTGTGCCGATGTGGTTGCGGTTGCCTGGAGGGTTGGATGGGGGCGTGGTTGTTGCCTCATCCTTGCCTGTGCTTGTGCTGGCTATTGCCGCGGTCTGTTTTACTATATGGCCATGGCTCCACTTTGGGGTGGATGTGCCACCTATTTTGATGTTCACCAGGGGTACAGGGTTTTGACCCACAGCCATATATATTTATATATATGTATATTTATATATTCCTATGTATGATACGCACTATGTTGCGGCCTGGAGCTGCCAGGAGTGGTACACGGAGCTCACCAAAGTGTTCGAGGAGATAGACTCGCAGGTCTCACGAGCATCCATTCGGGAGGCTTGTGCAGGGACGTGTCTTGTCAGCATCACATGAGCAGGATGTTGGCCACAACTCAAAATCATCCAAGATCCTTTCCCTTTAATCATGGAAGCAGGTGACAGTGTTTGTGTTAAGGTCTCCTGTCCGGCTACGAGTGGTGCCTCCGGGCAGTCTTCTTTTGCTTTTTGGCCAACTCGTTGAAGGACTAGCGGGAGCCAACACGGGTCTTCAAATCCATACAGCCACCCAGCCATGGTTCATAGCATGACCCAACCATGTCGGCTACCTCGCAGGCCAAGGACATTGAAGAGGAACCCGACGCGCGCCTGGCGGCCGCTTTTGCCTTTCATGGCATCGGTAGGTAGGGATAATCCTGCGTGCTTGTATCTCAATTCATTAAACCTGCTTATCCCGGAAAGAAAGGTTTGTCGGAATGTGTGTAAACCATTGTGCTCAGTAAGATCTGAAGAGATGTCTAAAGATACGTAATGCATGAGGCCATGAGGTTTAAGCTACACCTGAAGCGACTTCAAGCAGTTTGCGCGCCAGACCCACCCGCAAACTCTGGGAGACAAAATCATGCCGGGAGACAAATGTTGCGTTTAGATTCCCGCTCTCGGAGTGCCGTGCGTAGTATATGTGAGAGGATGTATATGTCAAAATAAGGGTTTCCAAAAAATGGTTAGTTTCATTCTTGTTTCCCTTTAAACCAGGGTGAAAAGGGTACCCTTAAAGCAGACCCACACACACATGCGCACCCACATGCGGTAGTTCAACTTGGGGAGTGGGTTCATGTGGGAAACCGACGAAGCTCTGCCAGGCAGAGGTGGCGAGCCTTGCCAGGGATTTGATGCAGGCGGTGAAGACGGCTTTGGGCTCAGTACGCTGAGCCGCTGTGCGGAGTCTCGAGCGCATGGCCCCGGCGCTTACAAGCAACTTGTCAAGTTGAGCGTACCAACTCGAGTGGTATAATGCAACCAATATTTGAACCACATATTTAAGAACTTGGCACCTTTTGTTTTGAGTGTTAGTATGTGTTCTTACTATTATGTCACTATTAATACTATTACTATTACTATTACTATTACTATTACTATTACTATTACTATTACTATTACTATTACTATTACTATTACTATTACTATTACTATTATTATTACTGTTTGTTTATTTTTGTTGTTATGTTTAAGCATGATCAAACCATTTGCGATGGTTGGTTCGGGACGGGCAATGCCCTTCGCCCATGCAAGATGTATTGGTGTATGTAAGCGATCATCTCCTGTGGTCTTGCAGGACATCACACGTAAGTCACCAAACCAGCTGGCCGATTTAGGGGCTTACCAAGACCTCATCCCCGAAAACGTTTGCACCCCCCTGATTGGAGCTCGACATGGATTGAACTGGCCTGAGGGATGCCCCCGGGAAGATGAATTTCCGTTCAAGAGACTCCCCAGGTCGGGAGGCTAGCCCACAGTTGACTCATCCCTTTTCAAGCCACCAGGTCAATGCCATGCTGAAGACACAGCGAGTGGTGAAAGAAAAGGAGGCCTGCGCCTTGGGCCGTTCTTCAGAGGCTGCAAGCTTCAGCTCAGAGGCGAACCGTTCCTTTCAATCTTGGCTTCTTTGGACGGGTGCGGCGGGTCAGGGGGTTAGATTGAATCCAGCTCATGTGCAGTGACCAAATGACTACTCTTCAGACGGTGCCGCTGCAGATGTCCGCAAAGGTGCTCGTGCATGCTATTGGCATAGCTTGGGTGGGCGTGACTAGAGTCACGGGGGGAATGTCAAAACCAGTCGCCCGAAGTTCAAGGAGAGAGACAGAGCAAAAAAGAGACAGAGAGAAAGAGAGCTGGCAATTGCTCAGGTCAACAATGTGCCGGATCTGTTCAAGGCACTGGATCAGGCCGATCCAAATCAAATCTGGCGATTTGGGCTGTGACTCGTTTGGCTGCGGCAGAACTGTCGGCTCATTCCAATGACATCCAGTGAGGACGTCCAAGCTCGAGGGCTTGTTGACTATTTAGATGCCATGAGACTGTGTGGGTGCTTCCAAATGAACGAGGCCCCCTATGTTCGCTTGATTCTGCGGTTGTTTCCCTATGTTTCCCTTCACAAACGGTTCAGCGGGGGTCCTCAATGTCGAGGAAACATGACTGGTTGGATCTGGTTGGGAGTTTTTGGGCGTCCGTTCTCTGCGCGCAGGCCGATGCCGGCGAGATTCCTCCTGCAGACTTCGCGTTGGCCATAGACAAGGGACAGCTTCAAAAGGGTCAGAGTTGATGAAAAGGCAGTATTGTCAGTATCACCCTTAATTAATTGATGGCAGTAACAACGCTGCTTCCACCTTCCTACGTTTCCGTTGTTACCGCGCGGTCTCCCAAAAAATTGGTAGCCCCCAAAAAGACAAACCCAAGTTGAGTTTGGTTGGCGCCTTGGGAGGACCCCGACTGAGGCAGAGGCCTTGAAAGGCTTGAACATCGGCCTTAGCCAAGATCAGCTGGACGAGGCCTCAGTTTGCGCGTGGGGGAGGTCTTTCAGCAACTGACTG